CCACAGCGGCCAGCGCAGCAATGACAGCAACAACGGCGCTGCTGCCACCGCCGCTGCCACCACCACCGACAACGATGAGGGACAGCCACACAGCGCCGCAGCGACCTCACGTAGCCCCGGTGGCCTGGCCGCAACAGAGCCCCCTGCAACTGTCTAAGCGACAGTCGCAGCACTACACATGAGCCTCGCACCGAGGCACTTGGTTTCTATCTATCTATCTATTGATTTACTTTTCTTTCTATCTATGTGGCGCCTGCTCTCACACCCATTCGCCCATGCACACCCCATCTCTGAGCGCTGGGAACAGTGTAAGATTTCAGCGAGTTTTCCCCAATAAATCGAATCACATACACACACACGCATACACACACCATCACCATTGCGGAAGATTGCCAACTACATACACAATTTTCGTGCGTGCCAACAACAAAGACAAACAGCCGCTGTTGTCCTTCCCATTCACCTTCCCCCCACCTCAAACACTTTGCCTTCTTCACATCGTTCACCTTCGTTCGTGCACCTGCATCGCCGCCGCGCTTCGACTGCACCCTTTGGTGGCAGCAGCAGTAGCAGTGAAATCGCACCCATAGCGTGACGCAGCGCGCCTGCGTGTGTACCAGCACCTACAACACACACACACGCACACATACTCAGCGCACACAACAGCGCACACAACAATGACCTCGCAGCCGCAAGCTGCGCGCTCACACCGCATGGGGTTGGTGGAGCAGATATTGCAGAAGCAGCACCGCCGACCGCTGTCCAAGCAGGACGAGGAGGACATCCTGAGCCACTTCCGGGACCTGGAAAGCGACCTTGAGCTCACCAAGCGGCGCATCACCCGGCGGTCGCAGTTTGTCAACCGAACAAAGGAGGAACGCGGCGAGCTGGTGGAACAGATTGCGTTCCTGCAAGAGGACATCTACGCCCTGCAGGAGCAGGTGTCGCTGCGAGAAGCCACCATCCGCAAGCAGAAGCAAGTCGAGCGCCAGCTCAAGGCAGACATCACCCGCATCGAGGAGGAGAAGGCCGCCATCCTGTCCGAGCTGGAAGTGCTCAGCGCTCGGTATGCGCCCCTTGCGCAGTGCGACTCCATCGTCCTTTCCCGGGTCCTCACGCCATCACTCTCCCCGACCACCAGCCAAGAAGGGCGCACACGCGGCAACACGTCCCTGGCCATGGCCAAGAGCACCAGCTCCACCAGCATTGCCAGCAACGGCCAGCGGAACGGCGGCGGGAGCAGCGACGCCGACGATGACGATGCTGCCTTCGGTGACGATGGCGGCGACGACCAGACCCTCAACGACAGCACAGTGAGCAGCACAGGCAGGGACGGGGCGGGCTGCGGCGGCTTCATGCGCACACTTGCAGACTGCATCACCGCAGCGTCCTCGGAGGTGCTGGTCATGACGCAGACCTTCACCTCGCGTGCGCTCGCAGACGTGCTGGCGAGTGCCAGCCAGCGCGGCATCACGGTGCGCGTGATTGTGGACGCGTCCTGGCTCAACATCACGCTTCGCGCCTCTGGCGCCTCCCGCGACTACCAGTGCTGGCAGCGCGTGTACCGCCGCTTCAAGGCCGCTGGCGTCGAATGGGGCGCCCAGCGCGGCCGTCGGCACATCGCCCGCCCAACATCAACGCACGTGCCCTTCACCCACAACGCCATCATCGTTGACGGCCTCACGCTCATCACGGGCCCGCTCAGGTTTGCCGATGAAGCGTGTGCAAACAGCGCGGAGAGCAGCCTTGTTGTTGTTCGCGGCACAAGTCGCAACGCGACCCCTTGTATCCAGTCCATGCACACCCTCTTCACCCAGATGTGGGGCTGTTTGGTCGAGGTGGACGTTCCACAAGAGATGACCCGTGTCCGTCTCCCAAAGATCTAGCTCCTTATGTGTGGCCGAGGGCGAGAAAACATGTGTGTTGTGTGTGTGTGTGTGTGTAGAGAGAGAGAGAGAGTGTGTGTGTGTGAGAGAGAGAGAGAGAGAGAGAGAGAGAGAGAGAGAGAGAGAGAGAGAGTGTGTGTGTGTGTGTGTGTGTGTGTGTGTGTACATGAGTATGACACCTGTGTTCATTGGATGTTAGTTTCTTTGCGTGCTGCGTGCACATTTGTATGCCGCCCGTGTGACATGCATGTCGTTGTTGCTGTTGTTTATTCTTGTTTTTCCTTCCGCTTCTTCTGCACTGTCATTCTCCCTGCCTGATCTGCGGCTGCTGGCATCCGCGTTCCTCCTGTTGTTCTACATGCATGCATGTGCTGTACTGTGCCGTGGTTGTGCGTGCGTGCGTGTGTGTGTGCGTGTGCGTGTGTGTGTTTGTTGATGCATGCAAGCATGTTTGTTGGTGCATGCACGCATGTTTGTTGGTGCTGTTTGCGTGCTTGTGCTCACCTCTTTGTGCCCTTGTTTGGCAATTAGATGGGGTGGTCGTTCCTCCACCCACACACGACGAAACTATTGTTGAATTTCTTTCGTTTGTACTGAAACATGACTATTAGACAACACTCGTAATCCAGACCCACAAATGGTGCTTACCAACAAAACAACCATGTATCAACAACAACCTATTGTTCCTTGCTTGGGCGCAAATGTGAATGTGTGTGTTTACATGTGTGTGAAATGAACATGTGTGTGTGTGGTGTGGTGTGGACAAAACAGGTTTTCTGTTGTAGCCGTGTCTCCACAGTGTCGTCACACCTCATTGCTCACGCATCCTGCCGAACACTGGTGCCAGCAATGCCCGCCCTGCAGTGCCAAGATGAAACACAACATGGAGTGGGTGGAGACAGATGAGACAAAACAGCCAAGGAGGCAACCAATAAGCCAACGTGTACGATGTATCACATACACAGACACACGAACACACGAACACACGCACACACGCACACACACACACACGCACACACACACACACACACACACACACACACACACACACACACACACACACGAACACACGCACACACACACGCTCGCAAGCAAGCAAGCAAACCTGCGTGGCGGGGTGTGTCCAATGTACAGCAGCCCGGACGTCTTGAGGCGATCGAGTGCAGAGATGATCTTGCGTGACGCCACAGACTCAGAGTCGGTCGTGGATGACGCATAGCCGGAGAACTGGTGCTGCTGATGACTGGCATCCTCATCGTGTCCACCGTGTCCCCTCTGCTTGTGGCGTGGTGGATAGAGTTTGCCCGCACATGGGCGCTCGTAGCCAATCACGCGCTTCAGAAACGCTTCTGTGTCCTCTGTTGACCGGGACACAGCGGAGCGCCCGCCCTCGTCCACATCGCCATTGTCACCATCATCGCCAGCACCGTAACCGGCAAGCACGTGGGCGGCTTCGTCGTACAACTGCTGCTGCACGTGCGCCCGCACAGCGTCCTGCTCTTGGCCCTCTTGCTGGCTGCGCTGCTGATGTTGGTCATGGGGGTTGTGCTGGCGTTTGTCGTCGTGGTGGTGGTGATGTTGGCGCATGCCACTGCTAGCCATCTCCTCCTGTAGGGCTGTGAGCTCGTTCCCCTCTGCTGCCAGCACCCGCTTGTGTGCATTGTGCAACTGCGCCTGCGCGTGCTGCAAGTCAAACAGCTGGCGCTTCAGCTTCTCCAGCTTCTGTTCGGGCGAGTGCACACCATGACGACGCTGCTGCTGCTGTTGTTGTTGCTGTTGTTGTTGCTGTTGTTGTGGTTGTACCTCCTGATCAGCTGAGTGCGACTGCATGGCTGCGTGTCTTGTGTCCCGCGCCATCAAGCTGTCAACCTCAACATCACGTCCACCCATCTGCTGCTGCTGCTGCTGCTGCTGCCACTGCTTGAGCCGGTGCCGCTGCCTCTCGCCGCCACGACGTCCGTCCGCTCGCTGCTCGTCCTGGAGCTGCTGCCATTGCGAATGCTGGCGTCCACCGTGTCCAGCGCCGTCACCGTTGCTGTCGCCACCAGCATCCACAACACCACCACTCCGTGGAGCACCACTCATCCACGCACCCTTGCCTCCAGTGACATCAGCACCGCTCTCAGATGCGGCAGATGACAGGTCCGACACGCCGCCAAAGGACAGCCCGCCTTCAACGTCGCCGTCTCCTTCGTCGCCTGCGTCTTCGCCGTCGTCGGCGTTGGACGTTGGCGCCAGCAGCTGGCGCGTTCGTCGCATGTAGTCGCCTGCAACAGGAGGCGCATGCTGTACGCTGATGGGCGCAGTGTCGCTCGGTGCGTCATCACCACCACGCATCTGTGATCGCGCTGCCGCCCCGCCACCACCTCCATACCCATCACCGATCCCACTCCCTTCACCCTCTCTACCATGGTTTGCACTGCCATCAGTGCCACCATCTCGATGCAGCACCCGCAGAGACGCCTTGTATCGCTCCAAAATGTCCTGTGCAGACTCCTTCTGTGATACCCGCGTGTGCGCGTGCAAACCCGTCGCCAGCCACGCTTGCGTCTGCTGCCAACTCGGCTGCGGCTGCTGTTGCTGCTGGTGTCGTTGTTGTTGTCGTCGTTGTTGTTGTTGTGCTGCTTGTGGTACCACCGCTGTGGCTGTAAATTCCATCTCTGCCTGTGTCGTAACGGCTTCGTCCTCGTTCTCACCGCTCGCGTGTCCACGTCCACGCTGCGTTGAGCGTGCGCTGCGTTCGAGAGAGGAGATGAGCGCAGATACGCGCTGCGTGTGCGCGCTCGCATCCTTCGCTGCCTGAATCGGTACAGAGACCGCTCGCACGCCCCTGTCACGCGCGTGTCGTCCTGTAAAGCTGCCGCCGCCGCCACCATCACCATCGCCATCACTGCTTGAAGCTTCGTGCGCACCGTGGTGGTTGATTGGCGACGATGATGCTGATGCGTCTGAGAGCGGCTCAGCAAACGTGCTGTACCACTCGTCGTGCAGCAAGGGCACGCGCGAGGTGGCTGCTGCTGCCACATGACTCCGTGACGTGTCAATCACCTGCAAAAGGAGCGGGTGTAGGGCCAGTTATGCACAAGTGCGTGTAAGTATGTGTGAGAGTGCGAGTGTGTGCGTGTGTGTGTGTGTGTGCTTTTTTTTTTTTTTTTTGTGTGTGTGTGTGTGTGTGTGCGAGTGTGTGTGTGTGTGTGTGTGCGTGTGTGTGTGTGTGTGTGTGTGTGTGTGCGTGTGTGCGCGCGCAGATTTAAGCGTGCGTGTTGGTACCCCCCACCACTGTTCATGAGGCACAAATCCACGATCAGCACCAACACCACCACCCATTGTACGTCTCACCTGCCACGCAGAGTCGGTGCCTCCGAGCTGGACGGGAACGTGGCGACTGTGGTCCTCAACGCCAACAAAGCGGACACGCTCTGGTCAACGACAAGCAAAGGCGCGGAGCACGTGTTTGTAAGTAGAAGGCGCGAAGTGTGGAGGTGAGAAAGTGACAGGCACGTGCATAGCATCATAGCCTGGCGTGTGACAAAGTAAGTCAGTGACGAATGTCGCAATGCAACGCAAATCAGTGTACTCACGTCGAGTTCTGGCGGACATGGAGGCTGATCGAGCCGACTGCCAATCACCATCGTCGTCGTTGTTGCCATCATCATCATCAACACCGCCGACACGTACATCATGGACCCTTTCATAGTGAACACGACGACCACCACGGCCAGCGTTGCTCACGTCATCATGATCATCATCGTGAGCATCATCATCGTCACCATCGTTGTCGTTGTCGCTGATGGTGCCGACCAAAGGAGAAACGTGTTTGGCGTGAAATTGCTGCCGTAGGATGGAGACGGGTGTGTGTGCTGCTGCTTTGCCTTTGTGGCGGCCTTTATTTGCTCCCTCATCCTCATCATCATCATCATCCTCGCCGTCGTAACGGCGGCGCAGGTGTTGACGCGGCTGCTGCTTCAGCTTCGCCCTTCGATGCTGTTGTCGTTGTTGCTGCCGCTGCCGCTGCTGCTGGCTTCGCTTCGTTTGCTGCTGGCGCTGTGAGATTGTCTGCACACGTGAGCGAATTGTGTTCCACGACATGTTGAGAGCCGCCTTCTCATCTTCTCGCTCCTGTTGTTGTTGTTGTTGTTGTTGTTGTTGTTGTTGTTGTTGTTGTTGTTGTTGTTGTTGTTGTTGTTGTTGTTGTTGTGCATCGGCTTCGTTCATGGCAGCGTGCATGTGCGAGAAGGCGGTGGCTGGTGTGATCTGGGGTGCCACATGCGGCGACTGCATGGGCGCACTCGCTCGTGGCATCCCCTCCATGTCATCAACATCATCATCCTCACCAACATCATCGTCATCATCATCATCATCATGAGTTGCCGTGTGCTGCTGTGCCATGTGGTCGCCTGCGTCGCTTGTGCGATGGCCACCATCAACACCACCCCTCTGATGTTGTTGGCGCGGGTGCAAGCTGCCTCCGTCAACGCTGTCTGGCGCAACTGTTGTCGCTGTCATTGCTCGCTCCATTTCCTCCCGTGCAACCGAATCACCATCAACATCGTCCGCACTACCATCGCCATCATTCTCTTCGTCTGCATCATCATCATCATCATCAATGTCACCAGCCGGTGCAGCGGCAACAGGGCTGTCGCCTCTGCCATACCCGCTGGCGCTGTGCCCACCAGCAACAACACCACGTGCATCACCAGCAAAGCGGGTTGATTCGCCACCATGTGTGCTCTGCAGGTGTTGCGGCTGCTGCGACGTGACGCCGTGACGAAACTGCTTCATCCGGCCAGCCGTCGTCCTGGCCGGCGGTGCCGCTGTTGATGGCGGCTGTGCTGGTGTGGCGGCCGTGTGCTCTGCATGTTGGGGGGCGTTGTCTGTCTGAAGTGAAGTGCTGACCTGTTGTTGGCAAGGTGACCGTTGCTGTGACCACGGCATCCACGCCTGATGAGGGTGACGACGCACGTGAGCAGAGCGGCCATCTTCCCGGAATGTCGCTGTGTTCGCCGTTGCTGTTGCCGTGGTTGCTGTGTACTCTTCGCTTGACCCCTCGCTCGCATCTGAGAACGTTTGTGACGACTGGTCGTGGGCGTGTCCGCTCAGTCGCCGTTTTGCTTCGCGCGCCTTCAGCTGCGATGACGGCGACACTGGACACGACGATGGCTCATCTGTGTGTATTTGTGTGTGTGTGTGTGTGTGAGTGTGAGTATGCATGTATGTGTGTGTGTGTGTGAGTGTGCATGGGCGTGTGGATATGATTGTGTTGTGCAGTTCACCAAGCGAGTGAGGCTGTTATTCAGTCAAAATCTGAGCAGCGACCACTAGATGCAACAAAGATCAACTAACATTGGCTCTCCAACAACAGGTCTTCGAGAGCGCGCTCCAGTGCTCGCTGCTTGGACTGATGCTCGCGTCTCCATTCGCGCGGCTGCAGCGTTGAGAAGACGGGTGGGTGGGTTGAGATGGGAGACCATGGCATGCAGCGATGAAAGTGCAATAGGTGCATGCAGAAGTGCAAGCTGCACGCAGCGGAGCACACGATGAAGCAAACAGAATGTCACACACAAGCACACATGCACACACATACGCACACATCAATCGTGCCCTCCCACTACGTGAGCTAAACACATCAGTTTCATCTCACCTCTATGACTTTGCCGGTGCGCTGCGAGAGCAGCATGAGGCGCTGCTGTGTTTCGATCCTCTCCGCGTGCTCCAATTCTTGCATCAGCTCCCGTCGCGTCATGTCCAGGTGGAGCCGGTCTGCTGCCCGCTGCCCACGCGTCCGTGCCGCTTTCCGCGCCTCTGCCATCTTGCGCTCCCGCTCCTGCGTTGTGTGTGTGTGTGTGTGTGTGTGTGTGTGTGTGTGTGTGTGTGTGTGTGTGTGTGTGTGTGTGTGTGTGTGTGTGTGTGTGTATGTGTGTATGTGTGTATGTGTGTATGTGTGTATGTGTGTGAACGAGACCGCGTGTGCGTGTGTATGTGTGTGAACGAGACCACGTGTTGTGCATGTGGTGAGAGCGTAAAAGTGTCGCTGTGACGTGTTCATCATCACGACACACCTCTTCTTCCTCCCCTCTTCATCCTCACGATACGCAGCAACACTTCACCCCATACCTTCTGCTCCTGCTTGAGCTCCTCCTCCGTCTTCGCTGCGGCCGCCTCTGCATCCTCTTCCGCCTCCTGCTGCTCCCCAGCCAGATTGCGCACGATCATGTAGTGCGCCTTGCCCTGCGCGTGTGATCGTACGAGAGCACAAGTGCGCGCGTGCGTTTGCGTTTGTGTGTGTGTGTGTGTGTGTGAGTTTGCGCATGTGCACATGTGTTGCGTTGTGTCGAGCTGCACGCTTGAGAGCCCACACGTTAACAACACATGACATCCGGTCAACAGCAAGCCTGTCATGGACTCGAGGCTGTCTTGACATACGTAGGCGTTGTGGTGGTGGTAGGTCTTTGCATACGAGACGTGGCTGGTGCCTTGGTGCACGCTGCTTGTGGCCTGCGACGATGCCGATGATTCAGAGGCGGTGGTCCTGCAGGAGCAGCACATGGCACATGTGGTGTTGTGGTGGAACGTGAAAGCCAGAAAGGTGAAGATGAGCAGGGGTTGTCTCAAAGGTGTGGGGGAAATGAAGGGGAAGAAGTGTTGACAGTGGCAGGCAGCAACGGGGCATACCATGAGTCTCTTCGTGCTTGTGGATGGTTCTTGGCATATTCTGCAATCTGCAGACAAGACAAACACGCATGCAGTGAGTCACACAGGTTCAGCGTATCTTTGTCTCCTACGGCAGTACTTGCGGCAGTACTTGCGGCAATACTCAAGCAGTTACGCACACTCGTCCGCACACTCATCCGCACACGCACACATCCGGACATACACAAATGCACGCAGACACAATTGCACATACGCAATGACCCGCATGCACACCCACCCACCTGCTCTGCGCGTCTTCGCTCAATGGTTCGCGCACGCTGAAGAGCAGCGAGACGCTGTCGCTCTGGTGCCGACTGCTGCCACGATTCTTGCCTGTTGCAGTGCACACCATGGTTTCATCACCTCGAATTAGCTTGCGGGCAGGTTACAGAAGTCAAGTGTGCGAAGGGTGGAGCGGAAGCTTGGAGTACATGCCAGGTACACAAACACCACTGTGTATCGAGAACAACTTGCTTGCACACACTTGTTCCTATCCTGCCGCCGACACACACACACACACACACACACTCACTCACCGCAAGTGTCGCAGTGCCATGTCGCTTCGTAGCTGTACTCGCCGCTCTTGCTCCTGCCAAAGACATGATTTGCAAGTGGTGAGATACTTGTTGGGGCTGCGTGTTCACCTTCTGCGTGTGGATGCGTGCGTGTGTGTATGCGTATGTGCGTGTGTGCATGCGTGCAGTGCAGGCTTGGGTGGCAATGTGGCACGTAGGTTTCAGAGCACTGTGGTATTCTTACCAGCTGCTGCTGTTTCCTGATGACGAGGCTGTCTTGCTGTGAGCGCAGCTCACGTGCTTGCTGATGTCCATCTCCAAACCGCGAGATGAGCTCCTCATATCTGTCCGTCAGTTCGTGTTGTCGTCTCGCGCGTTCCTGCGCTTCTTGTTGCTGAGTTGCACGCATTGAGGCGAATGCAGGCATTGGGTGAGGTGAGCGCGTTGTGGTCACTGCACGCGTGAGCGGTTGCCCCATTCAACCACCAGAGACATCAAAGCACACGACGTGACGATTCACGTACAAGCTTTCAAGTCCACACCACACGCACACATAAACGCACACATAAACACACGCGTATACATACGCACACACGTCCACACCCACACACCCTTCGCCAACCTGTTTTGCGCGCTTCTTTCTGCGGTCTGCAGAGCTCTTTTGTTGCTGATATGACTTGCGCAAACGCGCAGCAAACTCTTTCTCTTGTTGTCGCACCTGTCACCATCAGCACACACAAACACACACACATGCACATTCAGTCACAGCCATCGTCAGCGTTCACATTGTGCCCGTACAATGCTGAGGGTGCATGCACGCAAACACACACGCAAACATACACACAACCCACACGCGCGCGCAAAACAAGCTGACCTTTTGGAGGCGCAATCGCTTGGACTCTTGCACTGCCGACATGGTGAGTGTAGTGCACAACAGGCGGGGGGGGGCTCGCTTCTCCTCTTCCCCGCGCTGTTGTCCTGTGTGTGTGTGGTGGTGTTGAAGGTCGTTCCAAGACGCAAGCCAAGGTCACCCCAAAGCCGTTTTTCAAAGTTGGCGGAGCGAATTTGGCTGGAATTTTATTTATATTTTCATCTACTTTTCCCAACTGGTGCGGTGGACCAACGATGATGACGACCTCGCTCTCCACCACGACGATGCGGCTGGTGCGCTGCGGTGTTGCTGCAGTGCAGGTTGGGCGCAGGGCGCTCTCACAGCAGCAGCATCATCACCATGCCGTCATTGACCTTCGATCAGACACCGTCACCGTTCCTTGTAAGTCAATAATTGTCATTCGTCTCGTTGGCTGTGCTGTTGTACAACTGTTGGCCACGCATGTGGATGACACGCATGACGTGCATCTCGCACAAATCCGGTGCTTTCTTGCTTTTGCTTCTCCCTTCACGAGTCGTCAAACATGGCTGTGCTTCAGTGACTTGGCTCTGAGTAGTTTTATAGTACGGATGGCTTCCCAAATTACTTACCATCACATCCACCTTTCACACACACACACACACACACACACACACACACACACACACACACACACACACACACACACACACACACACACACACACACACACACACACACACACACACACACACACACACACACACACACGCTCGCTCGCAACATTAGCGCAGCGCATGCGCGAGGCAATGGTGACTGCGGTGGTGGGGGATGACGTGTATGGGGAGGATCCGACAGTGAACGAGCTTGAGCGGTACGCAGCGGAGCTGCTGGGCAAGGAGCAGGCGCTGTTTGTCCCAACAGGGTGCATGGGCAACGCCATCTCCATTGCAGCCCACTGCCAGCGCGGCGACGAGCTCATCTGCGGGGATCGCAGCCACATCTTCAACTACGAGGGCGGTAACGCGTCCACGCTGTTTGGTGTCGCCATGCACCCGATCCGCAACAGGCCAGATGGCACCTTTGATCTTGAAGACGCGCACGCGGCCCTGCGGCCGGACGACCCGCACTTCACACACTCGCGCCTCGTCTGCGTGGAGAACACACACAACATGTGCGGCGGCAAAGTGGCTCCGCTCAGCTTCATCAACGACGTGCGCGCGTTCTGCGACAAACACGGGCTCAAGCTGCACATGGACGGCGCCCGCGTTGGCAATGCAGCAGCCGCCCTCGAAGTGCCCGTATCCGAGATTGTCGCTCCCGTGGACACGGTGTCGCTGTGCCTGAGCAAAGGCCTGGGCGCACCTGTTGGCTCCATCGTTGCCGGCCCCGCAGACTTTATGTACCACGCGCGACGCACGCGCAAGCTGTTGGGCGGAGGCATGCGACAGGCCGGCATCATTGCCGCCGCGGGCATGATGGCGCTCAAGGAGAACCTGCACCGCATGCACGTTGATCACGCCCACGCAAAGGAGCTTGCACGTAACTTGTCAACCATGAACGGGATTGACATCTCGCTTGACGATGTTCACTCCAACATCATCGTGTTTGCCCTCGACTCTCCGCTCAAGTGCGCAGACTATGTGGCGGCGCTGAAAGAGCGTGGTGTACTGGTTGGTCTCGGGTACGATCCGCGTGTCATCCGGGCAGTGACGCATCTCAACGTCTCCAGCGAGGACATTGAGGACGCAAGCGAACGCTTCAAAGTCGCTCTTGACGACATTCGCGCAAAGCTCTGAGGCGCGCACGTGTGTGTGTGCGTGTGTGTGTGTGTGTGTGTGTGTGTGTGTGTGTGTTTGTGTGTATTTGCTATGTGCGTGCGTGCGTGTGTGTGTGTGTGTGATCTGCTCGCGTTATGAGCGGTTCAAGTTCTTTATGCGATGCCAGACGCGGCTTTCTGAGAGAGTTGGAGACAGAAAAGAGAGCCTTCAGAACATTACAACCAAGACACGGCAACAGGAGAATTGTCACACATTACGATAGCGAGGAAGTGGAAGAAGCATGGAGAAACATGAAGATAAACACCAAGGCCGTACATGTGTATATATGTGTGTGTATTTGTGGATTTAAGTGGAGCCAAAGTCGCGCATCCACTTCTCGTACTTGTGAATGTCGTCCTGAGCGGTGGGTTGCAGAGATGGCGGTGCAGTGAGGAGGCGGTTCAACACAGGAACACACAATATTGGATGCATGCACGACAACACCGACGGGGACCACACATGCGACCACACATGCGACAACCCCCAAACAACAAAAACAACCCCCCCCCCCCCAACGCCCAAATTCGCGGTGTGCTGACCTTTGAGACGGATGGCGAGACCTTCTTGATGGCGGCGGTAATATCCTCCATCGACGTCGGCTGGTTCAGCTGGTCCTTGTCCATCGCCTTAATCTCCTCGGGCGACTTGCCCCGGATCGCCCGACGCATTGCCTGCAGGCAACGGAAACACAAAGGGCACGTTGTAAACGAGGAGGCGCGGAAGCATGTGTGCCTGCGAGTGAGTGACACGGCGTTGATGTGTTTCCCCATCAAACAAAGCGTATGGAGACACGAATAACAACAACAACAACACAGGAAATCAATTCCACGAGACGACACAATACCACATCCCCCACGCTCCACTCCAGCTCTCTATGGCCCTTGTCTCCTCATCCAAACTGACCATCATGGACGCGTCTCTGCAGACGTTTGTGAGATCGGCGCCGCTGTACCCCTCCGTCTCGGCGGCAATCTTGTCCAGGTCCACGTCGTCAGCCAGCGACACGCTCGCCAGGTTGATGTCCAGCAGCTTGCGCCGGCCAACGTCTGATCGTGTTGTTGTTGTTGTTGTTGTTGTTGTTGTTGTTGTTGTTGTTGTTGTTGTTGTTGTTGTTGTTGTTGTTGTTGTTGTTGTTGGTGGTGGTGGTGGTGGCGGTGAGTTGAGAAGGAGTAGAAAATGGTGGCTGTCATCGCCTCCATGCCACACACAAGATGCAAACAAGTGACGACAAGCAGCTGTCAAAAACAGGCATCCGCGGGCGTGTGTGGTTTGCAATCTGTGATATCGTTTGATATCCATGCGCAGGTGCACGTCCTCACCTGTTGGGAGCGGGATGTAGATGCGTTTCTCGAGGCGGCGGCGCAGGGCCTCGTCAATCTGCCAGGGGAAGTTGGTCGCAGCCAGCACCATCACAACCTGTAGCCACGAGCATGGAAGGCGGTGAATTTGGGGGGGGGGGGGGTAGTTGAAGACAAGTTGGTGAGAACGCGACAACATGAAGCGAAATGCATGAAAACAGTGCACGCATGAACAAAGCAAGCCCAACACACACGCACACACGCACCCAAACAACACCAGCTGCCCCTGCCAACAACCAGCCCCAATCCATCGATTACAAATCACCATCATCATCGTCATCATCATCATCATCGTCAATCCACCAATGATCGCCATCGTGGCCTCACGTTTGAAGAATCGCCCAGAGCGCCGTCAACGCCGTCCATCTGCACCAGCAGCTCCGACTTGACGCGACGCGACGCCTCGTGCTCGTTCGCTCCTGGTGGTGGCGGTGGTGGCGGTGGTGGATGGTGGATGGTGGGGAAGAGGGGGTGGATGTGTGAGGAAGATGTGCGTGAGAGCGCTCGCACACAGACAGACAGACACACACAGACACACACAGACACACACAGAGACACACACATGCACAACACGTACCGCCGCGCGCGCTGCAGAGGGAGTCGATTTCGTCGATGAAGATGGTTGTCGGGGCGTAGAAGCGGGCCATCTCAAACAGGAGACGCACGAGCTTCTCGGACTCGCCGCGGTACTTGGAGGAGAGCGTACTCGTGGACACGTTGAAGAAGGTCGTGCCACACTCCGTTGCCACAGCCTGAGATGGTAAAGGCACAACACACACGGTGAGTGGGAGTTTGTTTGGAGGGGAGAGAGAGAGTGTGTGTGTGTGTGAGTCAGTGAGTCAGTGAGTGAGTGGGTGAGTGAGTGAGTGCGTATGTGCGTGTGGGTGTGTGAGTGAGTGAGTGAGTGAGTGAGTGAGTGAGTGAGTGTGTATGTGCGTGTGGGTGTGTGAGTGAGTAAGTGAGCGAGTGTGTGTGAGTCAGTGAGTCAGTGAGTGAGTGAGTGAGTGAGTGAGAGGAGGAGGAGAAGGGGGAGGAGGACAACGAGACAACGGGGACGCACAAAAAGAACAACATCATCATCACAGGAAAGCAATGAAACCTGTCAGTTCACCTTTGCGAGAAGCGTCTTGCCAGTACCGGGGGGACCGACCATCAGCACACCCTACAACAATGGCGACAGGCGGCGATGATGCGATGAGAACAAGGGCGAGAAGGCACGTGTGTCGCGCATGGAAATGCATGCATGCATGACACATGAAAAGACGGCGATGACGGACGACGAGGAACCCCGCCACTTAAACTCTCACATCCCCCCAACACACACACACACACATACACACACACAACACACACACACACACAAGGCACATGGGTGCAGCGTATTGTCGACAACAGCAGCGCACCTTCCATGGCCTGCGGATGCCGGTGAAGAAGTCGGGCCGCAGCATGGGCAGCACGACGGCCTCCTCCAGCAGCGACTTTGCCTCGTTGTGGCCAGCAATGTCCGTCCTGCCAACGACAAGAACCAGGGCAAGAGAGGAGGACGTTGTGAGGTGTGTGTGTGTGTGTGTGTGTGTGTGTGTGTGTGTGTGTGTGTGTGTGTGTGTGTGTGTGTGTTGTGGCATGCCATGAAAGCGTGCATCTCTCAACATTCAAGGCAGCAGCCGCCTCTGCGCTCTCCCCTCCTCTTCCTCTGAGACTCACCATCGCACGTTGGGGTTCTTGTGCACAATATCACGCTCCAGCATCTCAACAAGATCCGGGTCCCAGCCTGCAGTTCGCGTGAGCGGGCGCAATGATGGAAAAGGAGAGCGGGGTGGGCAAAGGCAAAGTTTATGTAATGTGTTGGAGCGTGAGGGAGAGGGAGATGGGGGTGATCAGAGTACAGTGTGATGTGGTTTGACGCGCCGACACACGACAGGTGTCCACGTATTGGTGTGCGAGCCCACACCTTCGCCCGAGAATTTCTTCTCGTCCTTGTTGGCTGCTTTGTTGTCCTTCTTATCCCGGCCAGGTTTCCCTGAGACGCAGGCGAGGGCAAGCAATGCAACAAGCGGTGGGGAGGGGGACGGGTGAGCGATGCCGACAAATGAACGCACCCATCCACACAGGCAGATATGATTACAATCCCACACACACACACACACACACACACACACACACACACACACACACACACACACACACACACACACACACACACACACACACACACACACACACACACACACACACAGCTCCACCCCACCCCACCCCCCCCCCCCACACACACAATCCCACAAGATAACGCCGACCAACCTGGCCTGGCGGCGGAGGTCTTTGGTTTGCGCCCGTAGCGGTCGTTACGGTCGCTCCGGTCACCGCGGCGAGCTGAACACGGGGGTGGAGGGTATGTTGACGCCAAGGCAATGGGATGGCGGGCAAGGACCACGCATGGTTGTTCGCGGTGAGTGAAGGTGCTTTTTGAATGGGAAGAACGTCTTTGTTGTTGTATTGGCAAGACAGTCACGAGTGTGTATGTGTGTGTGTGTGTGTGCGTGTGTGTGTGTGTGTGTGTGTGGCATGGTGCACGAGTGCAACGGGGTGTGGAGCTGGGCAGCAACCACCTCATAACACAAGTCGTACGCTCACCGTTTGAGTTGACGCGGGAGGAGGCGGTTGGTCGCGCATATGAGGGCGTGCCACCGCCAGAGCTGATGCGTGAACATACAAGAGAAGACGAGGTATCAGTGACACGAATGCAAGCCAAAGAGCAGCAGCATAATACACGCATTCATACACTGTCTACAATGCCAACTCGCCCAGCTACAGCCGTCACACGCCACACATGCCGAGTGAATTATGGGGGTTCAACACAGTCAAGTGCTCACCGGGGCTTGCGCTGGACGGGGCGCTCGAGTGGCGGCGGCGGTCCCCACACATCGGGATCGTGCTGTGGGGTCTCGGCTGCCAGTATGATCAGACAAAAGCGACCAAGTATGGTTGAATAGCACGTATGAATAGCACGTTTGAGCACCAACGGCACAAGGAAAGGTGAGCGCCAGGGAATCAAAAAGGGCGGTTGCAATCGACACAACAAGAGCGCGCACACAAGCGCAAACACACACACACACACAACAAGCACGCGTGCACACAACACGCACGCGCGCACACAAACACACACAGATGGTTGCACGCCTCACGCTTCTTGGGCTGGCGTGTGCTTGACTTGAAAAGATCAATCTCGGAGCTGATGGCCTTGACGGAGTTGTACTCCTCCATCACATCATGATAAGCCTGCGGACATTCACCAGTGGGCAAAGGTGAGAAAGGCAAAGGGAACGGGGCATGGGAGGTGCAGCAACGTGACAGATGCAAGTGCCAGTGAAATCAGTCAAAGGCAGTGTTCGCATCGATTGCTGAATGCCAACGACACAAACAATCGTGTGTGCATTTGAGTACATGTTGGTTACCTTGGCCCAGCGGCTCTTGGATGAGGGAGGACACTGGTTCATAAACTGCTTGATTGTCTCGCAGACGCCTGTCAGCAGAGTAGCGAGCAGCAAGCAGCGAGTCGCAGGACAGAACAGGACAGGACAGTGAGCTGTGATGCGCCCACAACAACAACCCATCATCATCATCATCACATGGAACACACACGACATTGACACAAACACGCAAACACAGTTTGATGCACGCACCTTCGTAGTACACGAGCGAAGTTTCATAGCTTCCAAGGAGCGCAAACTCCCGGCCCATGCGGAGCTCCTCCGGGATGCGGGCAACCATTGAGGTCGACATGCTATGCTTGTTCGTGGGTGCGCTTGGTAGTTGTTGTTGAGGTGGTCAAAGTCGAAGGTGTGTGTCGTCGTCTTGTTGTGTGTTGTGGTGTTTGCTTGTTCCCGTCGTTATTTTCGTGTGAAATTTGAAATTCCTGCTGACTCAGCACAGGCAATATGGACGAGCTCAAGGCAAAGTGAGAAAGCGCCGTGCATGTGCATGTGCATGTGTGTGTGCATGTGCGTGTGTGTGCATGTGTGTGTGTGTACGTGTGTGTGTGCATGTGCATGTGTGTGCGTGCATGTGTGTGTGCATGCACGTGTCTTGTGCCCTGCCTGCTGTGCGTGCACTGCCTGCTGTGCGTGCCTGCTGTGCACCCTGTCAGTTGTACCTTGCTGTGTGGGTGCAGCACGTCTTCCGCCCAGCACTGACGCGCTGTGTGCCTGGTGGGTGGCAGGCACCGCAAGGAGCTGCGGGAGCTCCAGGGAAAGATCACGGGCATGAAGAAGAGCGTCCCAAAGGGTGACAAGAAGCGCAAGAAGGAGGTGATGGCCGAGATTGCGCTGCTGGAGGCGGCCACAGAGAAGCGACATGACGATGAGATTCGCGCCCTTGAAGAGGTATGCTCAGTCAACATGCATCACAGTTAGAACCCGCTCCTCGGCTGTCATCGCTGCGCACACATGCAAACGCGGAAGGCCACACATACATGCACGACCACGATACACGTACACGCCCACACGCAACAACAACATGACCCTTGTTTGACACGACCTTCCGCGACTGTGTCACGCGTACAGGAACTGGCGAAGCAGACCATCAGCGAAGCTGGGGATGAGGCCAAGCCAGAGGAGGATGCAAAGGCACAGGAAGAAGAGCAGCAGCAGCAGCAGCAGCCCCGCAAGACGCGCGCACAGAAGCGACGGGTAACGCACCGGCTGTGATGTGATGTGAAGTGATGGGTTGTGTGTGTGTGTGTGTGTGTGTGTGTGTGTGTGTGTGTGTGTGTGTGTGTGTGTGTGTGTGTGTGTGTGTGTGTGTGTGTGTGTGTGTGTGTGTGTGTGTGTGTGTGCGCGCGCGCGCGCGTGTGTGTTTGTTTGTGCAGCTGTGCTCCTGTACTCTTGTGCAGCTGTGCCCCTGCGACTGCAGCCGCGTGCATCCCTATGTGCCCCTGTGCACGCCTTCCTCTCGTTCACTGTTGTTGAATGGCGTACTGGCTCGTGTATGTGCGCTGTGCAGGAGAAAAAGGCCAGAGAGGAACGGGAACGTGAGCGTCGCATCAAAGAAGCAGCGCCAGCGCCAGGGACAACCAGCAAAGAGGTCAGCTTGGCCACAGTGGTCACGCTTGCTGCAATGAAGGAATATGCCATTTGTGTACATGTTGCGAGACCATTCAACTCGCAGCTGCTGCCATCATTATCATCATTGCCGTTACCACCACCATCGTCGTCCCTTATCACTACTATCACCACCACAACCGCCGCCACCACCACCAACGCCCGCCATGTACAGATTGAGGAGGCTGCTCTCAACGATGCACTGTCCAAGCTCAACCTCAGCATACAGCGGGTGCCCGCAGACGGTAACTGGTGAGAGTCCACATTTGGCCATTCAATCATGACGAATGAGCACAGCACTGCCAGTGACTGTCTTTCTCGTGCCTGTCACTGTGCTGTTTTGTGGCATCGCCCTTTGCTGACGTGTGCGTACCCCTGGCTTTTGCTTTGCATATCCCTTGCCTGCGCTCCCACACCTCTCTCCTCATCCATCTTCTGCACTCACACGTCCACTCTCTTTGCACCTCCTCGCTCCCCCGCAGTCTGTTCAAGTCCATTGAAGTGCAGCTGCCCGAAGCAAAGGTGAGAGACTCGCTTTTCGCTGCGAAGAGAAACGGACTACGCCGACATACGTTGCGCTGCTTCGCAAGCACACCACCTTGTTAACCGCACAACAACACACACATACACACCACAACAACACGCACGTACACGTGTGTGACTGCAGGCAAAGGATGCGCGGGCGCTGCGCGAAATCGCCGCTGATCACATGCGCACACACCGCGACGACTACCTTCCCTTCATGACCAACGACAAGGGCGACATGATGTCTCCAGGTAGGTGTGTGTGTGTGTGTGTGTGTGTGTGTGTGTGTGTGTGTGTGTGTGTGTGTGTGTGTGTGTGTGTGTGTGTGTGTGTGTGTGTGGCAAGTGGTATTGTTTTGATGATGGCTGGTGTTAACTTTACTCGCCTGTTTGAACACTCCTCACAATTCATGAACACTCATGCACATATCTGTATCGTCTGCGCGTGTGTACAGAGGAGTTTGAGGCGTATTGCGAGAAGATGGCGACGACGAGCGAGTGGGGCGGCCAAATCGAGGTAGCGTGCCCGTTCTTTTTGCAACGGTGTATCACAACCTCCGCTGTCGCCCATCGCTTGTCTTTCCCCCTGCGTTCCTTCCTCACACACACACACACACACACACACACACACACACACACACACACACACACGACACACACACACACACACACACACACACACACACACACACACACACACACACACACACACACACGCACACACACACACACACAGATTCGCGCGCTTGCGGAAGCGCTCAACTGCTGCATTGAAGTGTTCCAGGCAACAGCGCCAACACAGGTGCGGGTGGCTGTCGAATGTGTGTGTGTGATTGTGTGTGATTGTGTGTGATTGTGTGTGTGTGTGTGTGTGTGTGTGTGTGTGTGTGTGTGACGAGTGTGTACGCTCCTTGACCTTCATACTCACACACATTTCCACCTGAATGCACACGCGTATCCACCTTCGACAACACACACACACACACACACACACACACACACACACACACACACACACACACACACGGGCAGGTGATTGGCGCTGCAGATGCGGCTGATAAGGTGCGGTTGAGCTATCACCGCCACCAGTTTGGTCTGGGCGAGCACTACAACGCCGTTGTGTCTTCGTCTTCCTCATCGTGATCATGGCCACGGCCGCCACCATCGTCGTCATGTTCAAGTGTTGCTGGGATGGGCGAAGCAACGTCAGCCGTGTGTCTGATATGATGACACCAACGATAACCTGGTGATTGGTTGTGTGTGCCGTTTCACACCAACGAAGCCACATATGCCAACGCCACATCATTTCTGTCGATGTTTCGACAATTCAACATCCCATCAACACGTGTCTGTGCTCGCAAGCATGCTCCATTGATATTCCTCTCCAACACAACTGCAGCATTTTACCGACGTTGTGCCAATAAACCCTCACGCACACAAACGTGACTCAGCTATGGTACCAACTTCAACAGCAGCAACCAAACAGAACATCCGTCCCTTCACACGTACACACACACATCACACACACGTACACACATCACACAACACACACACACACAACACACATCACACAACACATACACAACACACACACAACACACACACAGCGCTCAACCATACACATCATCGATCATTCCTGGTCGTCTGCATCGCCCTCCTGCCCCTGCTCCTGGCGCTCCTCCTGCATCCACTGGCGCCACTGCTTGAGTCGCCGTCGTGCTGCCGCCGTCTGCTTGTTGTCCTCTCCAAGCGCAGCTGTGCGAATGGCCACCGCTTGCTCCAGCACACCGCCCGCGTCCCTCCAGTGCGGCGAGTGCATGAGGCACTCTGCCTTCTGGAAGAGCGACGACGCGTAGAACGGGTGCTTGCGGCCCAGTGTTCCGGCGCGGATGGCGATGCTGCGCTCAAACCACTGCAGCGCTCGCTCCTCCAAAGCCTCCATCGTGTTCAATGACTCCAGCCCAATCGCAGACGACGTGTTGCGGGACACGGGCCCGCTCCCGGTCCCTGTTGCCGTCGCTGTAGCTGATGACGATGGTGATGCTGACGATGGTGATGTTGATGCTGGGTGTCGCGCTGGCGATGGCGACAGCGTGGTTTTGTCGCTGCGAGCGTGCTGCTGGCGTTGACCGCGGCCGCGACTGGCACTGTGGTACCGCTCATCGGGGCTGCGAAGCACCGTGCGCTTGCCTGTGACTTGCAGCCACCCACCACCATCATCATCGTCACCACCACCACCACCACTACCGGTACCGTTGTGGTGTTTCCTGTTGCCCTGGTGGTCCTTCTTCGCTCCACCACGACCACGGTCACGACCACGACCACTTTCATTGCTTCCATTTTCATCGGCTTGCTTCTTCTCCCGCCGCATGCGCCGCTTCAGCATCTGCATCTTGCGCACGCACAGCGAGCCAATGTCCCCGCACACGGTGGCGACCGAGGGGTGCTTCTTGCCAAACATGGCCTCGTGTGCCTGTATGGAGCAGTCGTACAGCTGCTCAGCGACATCGTGCTGGTTGAGAGACGTGATGGCAACAGCGAGGCGGTTGATGAGTGCCGGCAGGTAGTGGTCCAGCACACCGAGCGCGCTGCCCTCCGCACAGCACTTGCGAATGGCTGCAAACAGCTGCATCCAGTCTGCGCCCAGGTGGTGATCGGGCGTCACCTCCACCTCCAGCGCGTCCCTCTCGCGCAACCGCTGCGTCTTGGCGAAGATGCCGTGTTTCAGCAGCGCAACAGCCCCGTCCGCGTGCTTGTACTTCTTGCGCACAATGGCCAGCCACGCAAGGTCGCCCAGCACATCAGACGTCGCCTTGTGGTTCACGCCCTGCAGCAGCAGCCGCAGCCGCAGCGACGCGCGAAACAGCATGATGGCCTGCATGCTCTCGCTCTTGTGCATGAGCAGGCGGGCGAGACGGTCGACCACACTCGCTGCCGTCATCAGCAGTGCCTCCTCCGTGTCTGTGCCGTACTCCTCAAACAGCTGCGTTGTCGCCGCCTGGATTGAGTTGCGGTCGTGCAGGCTCTCCCTCGGTCGCTTCGTGCCGGTCGCCTCCGCTGCACTGGCCGCAGACGTGACCTCTGTTGCTGGCGTTGCTGCTGTTGTTGGTGTTGTCGTTGTTGATGTTGCTGTTGATGCCATCGTTGTTGTTGTGGTGGAGTGCGGGGCTTGCTTTGGTGCTGATCCACCGTCACTACTGCTGCTAGCATCGACATCATCACGGCCTGACTTGGCGTGCTGTTGGTGTTGGTGTTCGCTCCGCTTGACAATGTCGGTTAGGGACGATGATGATGGCGGCGGTAGCGGTGTGTTGGTTAACTTTGACAGCGCAGGTGGTGCCTGACCCTTGTGGGCAGCACGACCACCGCCCCTGCCACCTTTGCCACTGGTGGTGCTTGAGAACACGCGCAGCAGTGGCATCAGGCTGCGGTCGTGTCGCAGCTTCGACGATGACGATGATGATGATGATGACGACGATGATGATGATGATGAAGACAACGGTTTGCCGTGACTGTCACCGGTATCGCCACCGCCTTCGTTCTCCTGCTCCATTCGCGCCTGCAGCGCGTCAATGCGCGCGTTGAGTGCGTCCACCATCGACTTGACGGACTTTGACGCCGCCATGAGCATGGGCTGCATGCCATACAGACACGTGGCCAGCGCCCACACAAACAGCCGCTGCGCGTCCGTGTACTCTGCCCACTCGTGCAGGCAGCGGGCGACGGCGGCGATTTCAAACGCCGCAATCACGCGCCGTTTGGTTGTGTCCTCAAGGGTGGCGCTAGCGTCCTGTGACAGTGCACGTGCAAGATACGCGCGACGCGGCAGTGGCCGCGACGACGACGACGATGATGATGGTGATTGGGGTGCTGGGGATGTGGCTGGTCGGTGAGGGGTGGTGGCACCAGCAGCACTGGCAGCGGTTGTTGCTCCTGCTGCTGTGCCTGGTGGGTCGGACACGTGTGCACCTGCGATGGCGTTGCTTCGCCGGGCCATGCTGGTGGTGGCGCCGCGAGCGAGGAGGTTCATGCGGCCCTCCAGCATGCGCTTGTAGCGGTCGCACGCCTGGTCCGTGCCCATCTGCCGCCAGAAGAAGGACAGCTCCAGCCGCGAGAAGTCTGACGCAATCATGGTGCTGAAGACGGTGTAGGTGGACAGAAAGTCCGCCAGCGTGGCCGTGGCGCGGAGGGCGAGCAGGTGGTGTGGCAGCTCCTCGTGCTTACGCGCGTTGTCGTCCGGCAGCTGCGAGAAGAATGCGGCGAGCGTGGCGTGGGCGTACGCGGGCGGGTGGCGCTTCATGAACGTTGCGTCGATGGACCGCTCAATGGAGGAGTGGGAGAAGATGAGCAGGCCAGACTGCGATTGCACAATCTCCTCCAACGCGTGGAGGAAATGGCCAACGCGCGCCCGCTCGACGCCCAGCAGCGCCAGGAGCTCCGCCTCCTGTAGTCCTTGCCGTGACGCTCGCAGCAGGATGAGCGCGGCCTCTACCAGGTTCCAGCGGACACTGGACGGCGGCGCCGGTTCGCCGGGGAGGGGCACAAACGTCCACTGTTTGGGGGCAGCGAGGCGCGCAAAGGACTCTTCCCAGCGGGCAAATGTCACGCCCAGCAGCTCATGGATGTCTTTGGCAGCGAGAAGCGTGTCAATCTGCTCATCCAACCGGTTGAACGACCCTGCACCAGTGAGTTTGTGTGTGTGTGTGTGTGTGTGTGTGTGTGTGTGTGTGTGTGTGTGTGTGTGTGTGTGTGTGTGTGTGTTGGAAGAGACGAGGTGTTTGTGTGAGCATTATTGAGAGTGAACCTGAACACGGCTTGATGAACAAAGCACCTCGTCCTCGCTCCTCGCTCCTTCTCTTCCTCCCTCCAGTCCCACTGCACTCATCCACCCCCCCCCCACTCCCCCTCTCCACCTCCTTCGTACCGATGATTCGGAGTTCGTCGAGCAGCAGCGTCAAGTGCATCGGAGTTGACACGTGCGACGCCTCAATCAGCTGGCACCAACGCGACATGGTGTGTAGTGAAGCAAGATCAGAGGAGGAGGGGGAGGAGGAGGTGGTGGTGGTGGTAGTGGTAGTGGTGGTGATAGTGGGAAATAAACACACGAAGGCACATGTGAGTATGTCATGTCACTGCAGCGTGAAAGCACATTCATGAAACCTTATCACTCACAGTACACAACAACAAAACACACACACACAGACACACGCACATGAACTGCAGTTATCCCGCACCTTGTTGCGCTGGGCCTGTGCCATGTCCTTGCCGTAAGTGGAGAGGTACGATGCGATAAGCAGTTCGCGTTGGCGTGCGTCCATTGTCGGCACCTCCAGCACGGCATGCGACCACGCCACCTCGCTCGTCGCCGTCGCAATCACACGGAAGTTCTCCGGCCACACCTGATTGCGTGTGTGTGTGTGTGTGTGTGTAAGGTGTGTGTGTGTGTGTGTGTAAGGTGTGTGTGTGTGTGTGTGTGTGTGTGTGTGTGTGTGTGTGTGTGTGTGTGTGTGTGTGTGTGTGTGTGTGTGTGTGTGTGTGTGTGTGTGAACATGTGGCTGACTCAGCGGATAAATCAAACCAAATACTGTACATGACCCCTTAGCTGTAGTGGTACCTGTGGGAGCCAGTGGAGGGAGGTGGCACGATCAACCTGCTGCAGCTGATTCAGCGCATCGAGCACAATGTACACCGTCTGGGAGGAGAGGGTGGTTCGTGGGGGTGGGAGGGAAGAGGAAGCGAGAGGCAGAAGAGAAGAAGAGAGGGAAAAGCGTTAGAGTAGAAGAACAAAGGGCATCAAGCAAGCAGCGTGAATAACGTTGCTGTGATGGACAAACAAGCACGCACCAAGCAAACGCAGCAAGCAAAGTACAAAAGAAAACAAACACAGCAAGCAAAGCAAAGCAAGCAAACACAAATACACGCACACGCACACACACACACGCACACGCACACACACACACACACAAACACCCACCTGTCCCTTGAGAGCCTCTGAAGCGGCTGCAAGCCAGGATGGGAGGGCCTCCATCATCTTGTTGGGGCTGTGGGGCATGTCCTGTGTCACAGCACCGCCGGCCCACACGCGCAGGCGGTGAAGCAGCCGCTGCAGCACGTTGATGTAGTGTCCACTGCACCCGTGAACAAGGCAGGGCGGGGTATGGTGAGTGTGTGACATTGCGCGAATGAGCCGGGCAGATGTGTGGGCATACAAGCACGAAGACAAGCAAGCAACCAGGCAGGCGGGCAGGCGGGCAAGTGGACGTACACACGGACACACACACACACACAAAAAAAAAAAAAAAACAACAAAAAAAAAAAAAAGACACACACATAATCAAACACACACACACCATACGCACACACCTCTGCGTGGTTTGGCCGATAAAGTGGAAGTGGCATCGGGTGTCTTTGCGGCGGGAGAGGTCGTGCACGATATGGGACATGAGCGACGACTTGCCAGCGCCCGACGGTCCGCGCACGAGCACGGGCTGTTCGTCGGCGGTGGCGAGCACGCGTTGCACAAACGTCTGCAGCGGTGGCGTCAGCACGAAGGTGGCAAGTCGCGCCCGCCCAAACGCGGCGTGGGAGAAATCCTCCTCCTCAAACTGGTCGCTGAACACGTGCAGTGGGAAGTCGCGCTCCACAATCGCCAGCAGGTCGTTCAGGATCGTGTCGGCAACAGCGTCTGGGTCGGTGTAGTGGCGCGTGGTGACGCCCTCGGTGTGGTCGATAATGGTCTTGAGGGTGGTCATGGCGTCGGCGTTGTTGCTGGCGGCGCTCTGCTCGCACTCCTTGCGCACGTGTGCAGGGAGGCAGTCGTCGCTGTCGCGGATATAAAACAGCGCCCGGCGCTGGTCCACCGGCTGCCGCAGCACACCGGCCTGGATCTGTGTGTGTGTGTGTGTGTGTGTGTGTGTGTGTGTGTGTGTGTGTGTGTGTGTGTGTGTGTGTGTGTGTGTGTTGTGTGTGTGTGTGTGTGTGTGTGTGTGACGTGGTTGCGGGAGTTCGTCAGTGAGCATGCACAGAGGGTGAGTAAGATTGTGTATGAGCAATCACATGTGAGGGCAAGCGTGGCTCCCTCGATGCTTGGTGGCACATCTTCGTCACTGAGCCTGTGTGTAGTACCTCGAGGTGGGTGATGCTGTTTCCTGCATGCTCCGGCATCCATGACAGGTCGAAGTTGGACACAGCAGCGGCCTGCTCCAGCTCATCCTGTAGTGTTGTGGAATTGACGTGTGTCAGACACAAGCTGTTGTGTAGGAGGTGCAGCACAAGATCGTGCGACTGCTAAGGCACACAAGGCAGGAGGATGCAATACCAATACACAGAACACAAAGCACACATCACACGCAATTTTGTGCACAGCGCACAGCATTGTACAACGCAAACAGTAAACACGCCAAAACATACCACACAAAGTTGTCCAGCACACAAACGACACACGCGTCAGTGTTGGTGATTACCTTGGTGGGGCACCATCCGTAGCGTGAGCCAAGGAAGCAGATGAAGTAAGGCGTGCACTGGAGCACCTCGCTGACGCAGGTGTCAATGACATCGGGCCCCGATGCATCTGCCTTTACGCCCCACCGCAAATCAACCTCATTCAGGATCAGCCCTCTTGCCTCGCACACACGCCTCAGCTTCGGAAAGACCTGCACAGTCCATATTCATGTGAGTGTGAGCCACAGCGCGACATGAGAGGCAAACCGAACAACAAGGTGTAAAACCCCACGCATCACGACTCAAACCACGCGCATGGTTTCCACACACACACACACACACACACGCACACACACACACACACACACTGTTTCCACTGGACCTTCTCGTGCAGGATTTTGCGCTCTGTTTGAAAGTCGAGGAAGGACGAAGACACAAAGAGCCTGAACGTGCGTGTGGACGCCAGCTCCCCGACCACACACTCAATCGACAGCGCCGTCGCAAAGAACGACGGCATCGTGGTTTGGTTTGGTTGTGAGGCGCCTTGTTGGCTGCTGATAAGGCGTGTTGGCGATTGGTGAAAGTTTTCGCTTATCTTTCGGTTCCAGTAAGAGCTTCAAGGAAGCGTCGCGATACTGCCTTTTTGCCATTCCATGCACACTTTCGCTGTCCTCCCTCAAGCCAAGCCACAAGCCACAAGTCACAAGCACCAAACAGCTTGTTCAACGAAGCACAGCGACGATGAACTTGGACGTGCTGGATGATGATGGGGTGGTGCTGGCCTCCGTGGCAGCCTGCCCGCCTCCATCACCTCGTCGCTTCCTCTCCTCCTCCAGTATACAAGCCCCGGTGAGGAAGGAATGGTGGTGGGGGTGGAGAAAGGAGGGGGGCTCAGATGCTGGTGGTGTGAGAGTGTGTGTGCTGGCGTTTGAAACGGTGTGTGTGTGTATTGAGTTGTTTCTCCCCCTTGGTTCTGCTTGTTGACAGGTGAAGCGATTGGAGCCCAGGGAGCAGGTGCGCGTGGTGCTGCAGCGGCAAGTCACGTTCGGGCTCTCTCTCAGTGGACCTGCTGATGAAGTTCATCCAACTGCCTTCAACCTCGGTTCGTGTGTGTGTGTGTGTGTGTGTGTGTGTGTGTGTGTGTGTGTGTGTGTGTGTGTGTGTGTGTGTGTGTGAGGCTGTGTCTATCTGCATGGTGCATTCCTTTCTCTCTGTCTATGTGTCTGTCAATGTGTGTTGAGATGCGACCTCAGCAATCACTGCCATGTGACGCTTCAATCTCTCCAATTTCCACACGACTTCAGGCGTGTATGTGAAAGGGGTGGAGGCAAAGTCGCCGGCAGCTGAAAGCGGGAAGCTGTGTGCCGGTGTTCGGCTTCTCTCCCTCAACGGCGTAGACGTCTCCGACGCCTGCATGCCCGACTGCGGCCGCATTGTGAGTGCGCACCTGCCAACAAGCAGGAGCGAAGGGCGACGTGTGCACCGTGCATACATGCCTGCAATGGTGGCAAACATGCGCTTCTTGGTGTCTCATGTCATTCTACTCACTCCCCAGCTCTCTGTTCCACCGTTGTGTGCACACATGCATACGCAGATGAAGCAGGCCCATGACACGCTGGAGGTTGTCGGTGTGTATGACCCCTATGGATACAAGAGCCACGATGCGGGCAACCTCCTTCGCAAGGTGACTGCGTGCGTGTGTGTGTGGTGTGTGTGTGTGTGGTGTGTGTATTTGACTGCTCCGTGTGTGTGTGTGCTTGATTGTGTGCACGATGCTCCTCCACTCTGTGTATTACACGCGTTGGAGTGAAGCCATCTCAAGATCTCACGTTGCATGGTGTTGCCATGTGCTGTAGGAGGTGATTCGTCGCTTGGAAATGTGCTCGCGCGAACAGGTATGAGTGTGCGCATACAAACGTGTGCGCATGCAAGCGTGTGCGCATGCAAGCGTGTGCGTGCGTGCTTGCAGGCAAAACCAATGCACTCATTTCTCATACATCACGTCTCCATTGCTTGACCTTCCACAGTCCAAACAGCTCGGCAAGGCATACCACCTAGGGTGCATTGATCTTGAAGGTATGAAAAGATGCTAAAACCAAGCGTAGCGCTCGTGTTTACAAAACCACAACGTGTCGTTGCATTGTTGCTGCTCTTGTACTTTGTCGCCATCTGCAAGAGTGCAGAGCGAAAACCTGCACAAACAAGACATCTTGCCTCCTTGTTGTAACTGCGCAAGCAACCCACCCCCTGCTTCTGTCTCCCTGTAAGCACTTCACCGCATCTTACACTACCTCCCACTCACGTGTGCACCGCCATGATTGCCCCGTCCCCCTTTCTTCTTTTCTTCCCCCCAAGATCGACGTGGGCCGACTGTGGATGCCGCCGTGGGAGCGCTGGTCGCGTTCCCGGAGACGAAAGCGCAGGAGGTCGCCATCTCCCTCTCGGACCTGGCCCTCGAACTGGTATGGCAGACAGTCAGGCAGTCAGAAAAAGAGAGAGAGAGAGAGCGACACGCAGCAAGGATTGTGGTCGCGTCGCAGCGGTGTGCGTTTTGGTTCCTTTGTCCTTTCGCCATAGCGGTGCTCATCGCTCCCCTTCTCGTCCTGGTTGACACACGCGGCATGATACACCAAGATGCACACGCGCCGGAAGAGCGACGCCACAGCGACGGCGCCTCTCATGACACGGTCCTCCCTGGCCTATGGTGGAGCCATCACCATCCACGACATTTCAAACGTCTGGCTCCTCGGCAGGAAGAGCGTCGTCATCGGTGCGTCACCACCACCACCACCCAGCACAACACAACGCACAAGAGAAGAACAGACGGAAGAGACGGAAGAGACGGAAGAGACGGAAGAGATGAAGAGCTTGCAGCGGACTGGGTGTGAGCATTCGCGCGTACACACTCGGTGCGCGGCGCGCACTGTCTCAATCACAAGCAAACCAACAAATAGCGCCCACTCCCTTCATTCACTTTTTGTTCGCACATCCTCCACCTCTATTCTCTTCATGTCGTCGCAGTTGCGCGATCGATTGAGGGCGGGAACAGCAACCACGGCGCCAGTGATGACGCACATGCGGAGATGCCGTGTGCAACATACGGCTGTCACGTCATCAAGTGCCGCAAGGCCAAGCACGTGGGTGGAAGCACCACTGAAACACTGAAAATGCAGTGCTCAAGAGTAGTGGAGGAGGAGGTGGTGGAGGAGGAGGAGGAGGAGTGTGGTCCGTGTGCTTCAGTGGTGAGAGCGTGAACGCGCTGTTGTGCTGTGATAGCTTGTGGAGATTGTAGTGCTCATGCGCCCCTCTCAAATCACATCACCTCCCCTCTCACCTTACTTCCGTCACCCCCCACCCACTTCCACATCACCACTTCACCCACACGGGACCTCTCGCAGGCTGTGGAGCTGAAGAACACCCTGCAGGCGGCGTGCCGCGCACATGTGCAGATGGTACAGAGGGTGTTTGCATTCGACCTGGAAGTCTGACCCGCCATCCAAGCCATTGCAGCATTGCTTCACGTCATATCTTGTGCCTCTGTTACCCCTGTTTGGCACAGAAGAACGAACTGGCACTCACTTGCACACAAGAGGAAGCAGCTGCGTCCTGTGAATTCCGTGAGCTCTTCCTTGCTGCTCATCTGTGCTTACGCTTCTCGCCTTCCCCCTCCCCCTAGCCGAACTGTCGCTTCTTGTGGTCTTGTTTAAGCGTGGTGTAACGAATCGTGTCGATGGTTGTGCTTCATACAACGACAGTGTCAAAATAAAGATACCAATCACATCCAGCAGACACATAGGGTAACAACAAGTGGACCCAAACAAATGGCGTCACCCAGCACAAACAGCGAGCAGCGAAGAGAGAGCGCGCACACACATAAACACACACACACACACACACACTGGCATCCACACACACACATAACACACACACTGGCATCCACACACACACATAACACACACACTGGCATCCACACACACATAAACACACACACACACACACACACGCACGTATGCTGGCTCTATTCGCGCTCATCTGCCTCCGGGATGCGGATGTCAATGTTGTAGGTGTTGCCCTGCCAAGAAAAGAGGGTGGCGTCAGACCCAAACACCATGCGCCGGCTGAGCTTGATGGCCAGCGGTGATGCCACGAGATACAGCTCCTTGCCGTCCGGCGATGGGTGATACAAGCGCGCCGTCTCTGTCATGCACAGCTTGTCTGGTTCGAAAGGCCGCCGCAGGTTGCCAGCGTACACGAGTTCCCAGGGCTCGTCGCTCGCCTGGCCAGTGCCCGTGGCTGTTTCAGAGGAACCAGGGTTGGCGTCGCCTTGCTCGGCGCTCTTGATGTACTGGTCCAACTGGTCCTTATCAGAGACGAGGGAGCCATGCGGCGGCAGCAACGTGTGGTACACCAGCGGCGTGTCGTCGCAGCGCAGAAAGTTGAACTCTCGGCCACACCGTGATAAGAAAGGAAACTCCTCCTCATACCGCCCAGTCGTATTGGGTTCCACCCGTTTGAAGAAGAAGTCCAGGAATGGCTTGTCTGCGATAGTGTGTGTGCATGCGTGCGTGTGTGTGTGTGTGTGTGTGTGTGTGTGTGTGTGTGTGTGTGTGTGTGTGTGTGTGTGTGTGAATCAAGGATGGTCAAGAGGCACAACCAACGAGTGTAACAATATACAAGCAACATTGCACGCTTCCCCCTGCACCCCGTTCGCACGCACCAGGAATGCACACACACACGCATACACACACATACACGCATATGCACGCGTATGGCTCACCTTTGAGGCAGGATGTAAAGTTCTTCATCATGCTGTCGTCAAGGAAGAGAAAGCCGTTGTGATCAATGTAGTAGAAGTACTCGCGTCGGCCTTTCACCGTCTGCCCTTGCGTGTAGTTCAAGGAACTGCGGTTCACCCTCGAACTGGCCGCCGTCGTCGCTGATGCTGCATCTGTTGCACGTGCTGCTTGACCTGTAGTGTTCGATGAGCCTGATGCACTGCTTGCAGCGCGATAACAGGCAACTCGCGAAGCAGCAGCAGCAGTGGTAGCAGCGGCGGCGGCAGCGGCAGCGGCAAGTGTCGTTGGCCGCAACCCAGCCAACCTCATCATCATCAAGTTCTGCTGTGCGTTCCGTTACTGACTTTTATGGTGTCGGTTACGAAAAGACAAGTCGCCAAAGCTTCCAGCAGCCACTCCACCATCACCTCGATCACCCATCACAATCACCCACCACCCTCCTCCTGCCCTCGACCACCGCCGCCACTGTTTCCGGCCGCAGGGCGCTTCTGTGCGAGGGCGTGCAGGCGCTGCTGTGCGCGCTGGAGGGCCATGAGCTGCTGCAGTGGGTCCTGCGAGCCGGCCTGCCAGTCCACGTGCGATCGTCGTTGGCGTCGGGGCTGCTCGTCCCTGTGTCGCTGAGATTGGGGTGTGGGTTTGCCGGATGCCGACAAAGACGAGGACGCAGATGGTGTGCGATCACGTGGCGCCTGCTGCTGCTGCTGCTGCTGCTGCTGCTGCTGCTGCTGCTGCGCTCGCTGCTGTGTACCTGTAGTGCCGATGTCCACATCACGGGCATCAACGCCAACACCAACACTGGTACCACTCGTCTCCCTCATGCCGCCAGCAGCCTGTCCTGCAGACGACGCTCGCTGCTGTCTTTCCTCACCTGCGTTATCATCATCACTATCATCATCATCATCATCATCACCATCACCATCATCATCATCGTTGTGATCGCCGTTATAAACACGTGTCCGTTGCACTCGTACGTCACTGCCAGTCGCACAACGCCCCCTGTCGCCCGACACCGCGCCTTCTCGCGTACGCGCGCACGCCGCTGTCACATCCACTTCAACCACTTCCTCCTGCTCTTGCTGCTGCTGCTCTTGCTGCTGCTGCTGCTTTTGGACGCGCTTGTAGTTGGCCAGCGTGGCTCGCGAGAGGCCCACGCGCGTGTTCATCACCGCCGCCTTTCGAGAGTCGCTCAGCGACTCAAGTTGCGCAAGGTCGCGGGCATACCACCCGCACTTTTGCGACATGCCGTGCACAAGCGCATACAGCACACCGACAGCCATGTGCTCCCGCCGCTCCCGCACGCTCTCAGACGAAACAGCTGCACCCCCGCCACGTCTGCTGCCGTGCTGGCCCGCCACCGGCGTTGCCGCTGCTGGTGGGGTCATCCACCCCACAACGGTGTCAAAGAGGTTCGGTGCCGTGACGCTGCCGCACAGCTTGCGCACCTCCGCAGGCTCGTATGCGGGCTGCTGGTTGTCCGAGGGCTTGCCAAACGCTTTGAGCATCGCCGCCTTCACCGCCTCCACCTGTGCTGGGATGTCCGCCTGCTGCGCAATGCGCCGCTCCACTTGTGAGATGGCCCGCCACGATACAATCGGGCCAAGCGGGGTGGCCGGTGCAAGCTCGCCCAGCTGCTGGTCTGCGCTGAAAACGAGGCGCCGCCGCAACAGGTCCGGGTGGAACTGCTCCACCATCGTCCGCGGCATCAGGTACACATCGTGCGTTGGCAGGTATCCCACGTGTCCCAGACTGGAAGCATGTACCTCCACACTATTCAACGCCAGCGGTGCTTGTTGTCGCCGTTGTTGCTGTTGGGGCTGCTCTTGCTGATGTTGGGATTGTTGCTGTTGCTGTTGACCTTGCTGTTGCGGTGCTTGCTGCTTTCGGTGTGAGGGTTGCTGTGATGATACACTCGCAGGTGGCCGAGATGCTGACTTGGAGGGACTCGAAGTGGAGTATGTGACAGCACCCTGCTCGGAACTGTCCGACAGCGGCTGTAACAGCTCCAGCGCAGATGTAAGCGTCGTCTGTGCCACAACGTACCGCTTCCTCAGTGACTCCCGCTTCGCACGCTTTGTGGGAAGCCCAGTGTCCTGCTGCAAGCCTTCTTGCTCCTGCTGCACCAACTGTGTCAGTTGTTGTTGTTGCTGCTGCTGCTGTTCTTGAACGATGGCCGATACGCGACTGGCAAAGTCCTCGCCAAGCATGCCCAGCACCCGCTGGCGAGCCTGCTCCCTCCTTGCTCGCTCGTCTCCTGCGTGGATGTTGACCAGTGGCACCTCGCCCTCATCGTCAGCTGCTGCCACCGACCCTTCACTGCTTGCAAGGGCGTCTGCCAGCCGAGCCACCACCTCAGCCACAACCCGCTCAGCCATCGAACTTACTGTCTTTCGTTGGCTGTTTTGGTTTGGTGCGATTGTGGAAGATTTGTGGACATTATCATACAGATTTCAGCATGACGGCGGAACGTGATGACCAGCTCAGTCAATCTTGAGTCGTGCTTGTGGGTTGTGGAGCGGGGTGGTCGTCGTGTTGACGTTGAGGATGCAACGACTGATGTCAGCCCCGAAGCACCCGTGCATGCATCCTTGAGTACATCCGTGAGTGCGGTTGAAAGGGTGTTGCAGTACTACTGCATACCACCTTCGGCAGTCGCCACAGCCATCGCTGAGGTGCGAACAAGCGTGTGCATGTGTGTGTGTGCGTGTGTATGTGTGTGCATGTGTGTGTGTGCGTGTTTGTGTGTCAAGAAGTTGCGTGCATACTTGCTGCAACCTCAACCTCATGAATGTACGTACACTCATGTTCCAACTGTGTTTCAGGTCGCTGCACTTCTGAATCAAGTGGCTGGGTCCGTTGTGTGCTCGCACGCCACACCATACTGGTGTGCTCCAATTCTCCTCGCTGCGTGAGTTCAACTCCCCAAGCCAATACAGCGTGTGTGTGCACTTGTGTGGCTTTGTGCGTGTGTTTGTGCCTGCTTTCGTGGGTGCGTGTAAGGAAAAGGAGCATTCATCACCGACTATCAGAACCGGCTTCCACGATCAGCTTCCACAGCCGCATCACTCACGTGTGGCTTGTGTCGTCCAACCCACCCAAAAAGGTGTCAAGAAGCTGGGTGCACGTTCAGCGCAGCAAAGCAGGGTGAAGCATGTGACACGGCCGTGTACGTGACCGATGCCCCGAGTCATCGAGATGACTTGTTGGGAACAGTGACGCTGGTGGCGGAGGAGGCAACCCCACAGCGTGCAGACATGCCACAGCCGTCTTCGCCTTCTCAACAACACGTGTCCAGCATCACCGCAATATTGCACCTCTACCGCCCAGCTCGGTCCGAGCCAACTCAACACCAGCCTGAGCCGTATTTATATCGGGTGCCCACATCAGGCACAAGCGGCGCTCCAAAGATTGTCTCTGGAACATACACCACCATCGCCACAGTCATAAACGACATTCAACAATACGCTGGTGAGCACATGTGTATTTGTGTGTATCTGACAACATCTTTTGCTGGCTCCATTACTGTGTTTTCATTGCAATCACACGCACCAAATGCTTGCCATGGCCAGAACTGAGCTCGGACGATGTCGTTGCTGTCATGTCACCGCCCACGTTTGACCCCCACGTGCTGGACGTCTTCCTTGCGCTCCGCACCGGCGCCTCCCTCGTCCTCCTCCACCCCTCCATCCCCGTGAGTCGGCAGCGAGACGCGCAGCCCTGCACAATGTGCTGACGTGAGTGAGTGAGTGTGTGTGTGTGTGTGTCTGTGTGTCTGTGTGTCTGTGTGTGTGTCTGTGCGTGTGTGTGCAACAGTCTTGCGCTCAAAGCAGAACAGCGTCGCCCGCACTTCACGTCTTCAGATGGCCGGTGACTTGCTGCTGGAGGCATTCACTGCTCTGCGCGTCACATACGCGTGTATGGTCACCACCGTCTTCACAGAGTCAGTTCCAATCGATGCTGGACAACACTGTGCATGTGCTCGTTGACCAACTGACACGTGCCATCGCAACAGGCAAACAAATGTCACATGGCACCAGCTACCCAGGCTTCCACACATCCACCACACTGTGCAATTCATCCCTCACACAGCCACACGCACACGATCACATGATCCACATTATCGTCATTCCCCATTTCGTGCAGGCTGTTGCAATCGCAATCCACACCAGCAGCGCCAGCTGTCGGCGAGGGCACGAGTGCATTTCCACCTTCTTCTTGTCATCTGCGCCATCTCTTTGTTGGTGGAGAAATGTTCCCATCGCCCACCGCGCTCCTCCCGGCCTGGAACTGGTCGCACCGCTGTCGTCTCTGGAACATCTACGGCATCACAGGTGTGCGCATGTGTGTGTGTGTGCGTTGTGTGTGTGTGTGTTGTGTGTATTTGTGCCTGTGTATGAACATCGCATGATACGTGTTCTAACACGGGCTTACATTACGTTCAACACACACACACATACGACACGTACAGAGCGTGCGGTGTGGCAGTTGTTATGCCCTGTGACCAGACCTGTTGTTGAGAGGTGCATTGCTATCAACACGGCCCTGCCAATCGGTTTTCCTCTCCCCAGCGTCACAGCACAGGTGCGTGTGTGTGTGTGTGTGTGTGTGTGTGTGTGTGTGTGTGTGTGTGTGTGTGTGTGTGTGTGATTGTGTCCTTGCAAGTGCATGAATCCGCGCTCTCCCCACGCCACGCACTTTCAGAGTTGACTTGAGCACATCTGTTGTCCACATGTGATTGTGTGTGCTTCCAGTTGAACGATAAGGGCGTCCTGTTTGTCGGCGGTGAATACCGCAGCTGTCTCGTCAGTGATAACAACAACAACAACAACAACAACACACCACCATCAACGCATCACGGGTACACTGCACACATACTCAAGTATGCAATGTACGACCCCTAGCCACCCCACACGCTACCTTCTGTGCATATCCCTTCTCCAACCCGTTGTTCGCACACACATTCACACATGCACACACACACGTGCGTACGGTTGCATTGCAGGTTGTGGTCGACGGGCGACGTGTGCGCGCGTGTCGCTGATGCCGAGCTGCTGCGCCGCCTCCTCGCCGCTGCGAGGACAACCGGACCGTTCTTCCAAATCTTGGGCCGCAGCGATGATATGGTCAGCGAGGAGTGGGGATGAGGGGTGTTACGGTTGGTGGCTGAAGATCTGGACGTGAAGTGTGACTGTTTGTGCCATGCACATGACTCACACACACGCACACGCACACGCCTGTGCACATGATGACTCACACACACACACGCACACGCATCTGTGCACATGAACACGTTCCTGCACGCCAGGTGAAAGTGCGAGGGAAGCGGGTGTGGCTGGACGCGGTAGCGCGATGGCTGAAGGTGCACTGGCCCAACACGCGCCATGCCGCCTGCCTCCGTTACCAGACTGCAGGCAGCGTTGCTTGCAGGCATCGGCTTGTTGGTGTCTGTGCCACCGACACTGAAACACCGCACACAGCAGCAGCGACAGCGACAGCAACAGCGGCACCGAACGAACACGTCGTCACAGGCGCAGGTGTGTGCGTGTGTGTGTGTGCGTGTGTGTTTGTGTATCTGCGCCAAACTAACATACGTCGTTGTTTCCATTTCATCGCCCAGCTGCTTCTCATCCATCTCCCCCTTCACGCTCGCACACACACACGAACAGCCCTGTCTGCGCTCAACCGCCGCTTGCGAGAGATTTTTGGTGTCGATGTTGATGCCATTGTAACAACACCAACGCTGACAACCACCTCCCACGGCAAGGTGCAATGATGACGCGTTTCTCCTTCATATTTATCCATGATGACCTCACGTGTGGGACTGTCGATTGCAGAGATTACGGCCATCTCTCGCAAGTCTCACATGCACGCGTGCTGCTTGTGGATTCCAGCTGTGTCAGCGCCACTACGCATCGCTCGTGGAGAAGAACATGGCTACACACAAGCACGCAGCTGCCCATCATGTGAGTCAAACAAGGGTGCTTTGGTGTCTTGATAGAGCAAGGGTGCTGATCATGTCGTGCACATAATCTCACTCACCACACACACACATACACTCTCACACATACACACACATTGCAGTCGTGGACGCTATTGCGAGCGAAGGAGGTGTTGCAGTGTGCGATGGAAGCAGCGGGCGTGTGCGTCCCATCACCACTGGTGGCCGGCTGGGGTGCAGTGTCGTTTGCAAGCGCTGGTGGAGACTCGCTCGCGGCTGCAGATGTGTGCAGACAACTGGAGGCCGTGCCCGGTGTTGTGTACGCGGCCATGCTGCACTCCCTCATGAACGACACGCTGGACGCGTGCGCCCACAAACTGCTTGCCATGGCGACGCCTGCTGACCACCGCGGTGCTGGCAGTCGATCGGATGTGACGCGGAGTGCTGACCAAGTGGCTGCATCCTCCAACATCAAGCGCCAACAACAGCAACAACAACGAAGCGAGGCAGCATCGGTGTTGGATTCACCACCACCACCCAAGCAAGCCAAGATGCAACGAGGTCGTGCGACTGCACTCAACAATACCACATCAAAACACACGGCACCAACAGACAGCACACCAACAGACACAACACCAGCAGCGTCAGTGGTGTTGTCACCGCTCCCACCGTCACTGCCGCCTGGACGTGTCATATCCCGCGTGTGGCACGCTCGCACTGCACCCACCACACATGATGATGACAACCAGGGCGCCCACAACACAGCAAATCAAGGCGTTTGGGCCTGCGAGAACGTGACTGTGGTGAGAACCAGATCCAGGCACCCTCCTACACCCACCCAGACACAGACCCACACCGCGGCTGACACCGTCGCTGGCCCGGCCACGTCGCCAGCTGCTTGTTCGTGCCACGTGCGGTGGACGCAGGACATGGGTGCGTGTGTGGATGCAAGCCCAACCCTGCACGTGTGCGATGACGATGAGACGGGCACACATCCGCAGCGCCGCGTGTACATTGGCAGCCACGCCGGCATCTTCGCGTGCCTGGACGCAGCGTCCGGTGCCGTGCTGTGGAAGGACACCTTTGACGGGCGCATTGAATCCGCGGCGTGCATTTCCTCATGCGGGCGGTTCGTGGCGGTGGGCTGCTACACTGGCGAGGTGCGCGTCTATGGCGGCGTCACGGGCGAGCGCTGGTTTTCCACGGCGCTCCCTGATGCAGTTCGATCGCCCATCCGCTACGATCTGGGGTCCCGCCTCTTCTTCGTCGCGTGCTATGACGGGCGCCTGTATGCACTTGATCCCAACCGCCGCACGTGCTTTGCATGCCGCCATCCAGCGCCAACCACTCAAGGTGGCCCCCTCGCCGCCCCGCCGTGCTTGCTCAGATGCTTGCAAGCACCGGGCGAGGAGGGGGAGAGGGATTATGAACGCACTCACATGGACACAGCCGTCGTCGAAGAAGGAGTAGCAGCCATATTGCGCAAACAAACAAGCAGTCCACGACACGGGTCTTCCCCTGTCACCAGCAGCAGCACCAGTACCAGCAGCAGTCGAGGGACAATGGCACTGTGCATCACAGCATCGCTGCGGGGTCACGTGACGTGCTTTCAGTATGACTACGAGGGCGATGGGAAACCTGGAACTGGCGGAGATGGCAGTACTTGCACGATGCTGGAGCACCTGCTTTGGAGACACAAGGCCACCCACCCCATATTCGCTGCGCCGGTTGCGCTGGCACACGCGGGAAGCAGCCCGCCGCGTGTGCTCATCTGCCTGGTGAACGGGGTGGTGATGTGCATGCACGCAGTGCAAGGACAGTTGCTGTGGCGCTTCAATGCGGACGCAGACGTCTTTGCCGCGCCCCTCGCCGCTGTTGTTATGCCGCTGCGCTCATCTTCATCTTCCCGTGAAGACCCAGACACATCCACAGCACCAGCACCCGTGCCCTCAAGAGACAGAGACGAACACGGCAATTGTCGCGCGAGTGCCGTGACCACCACCGGCCAGTGGCTCATCATCGTGTGCACCAAAGCCGGGGCAGTCATTGCACTCAGTGGCCACGGGGATGTGCTGTGGCGACGTGCTGTTGGCGAACACAGCATCACCGCCAACGCCACGATCGTTTATCCCAGTGGAGATGATGATGATGTTCATGATGTGGCCCAAGTTGCCGTCGTGACGACAGACGGGCACTTGTTCTTGCTGCCGCTGTTTGAGGAGGAGCTGGGCCAAAGGGATGGCAAGCGAGGTTGCAGCCGTTCTGTGTGCCAGTTTGGCAGCCATGTGTTTGGCACGCCCTCGTGTGTTGAAGACAGCATGTTTCTTGGCACTCGGGATGACATGGTCATGCGGTGCGACATAACAAGGTTGTGTGAGTGAAACGGTGGCATGTAGTGTGTGATTGTGTGATTGTGATGTCGTGACGAGGAAAATAAATGGAACGTTGTTAGCAATGTGTTGTGTTGTGACTTCGGTTTCCAAACACATTTTGTGTCGACACACCAGCGAAGCGGAAGTGAATGCGTTGTAGCCCGCATCATCAGGTCGGCATTTCACTTGTGTACAGCGTCACTGCAGCAGCTGAACGATTTACACGACTGTTGTACATGCACACGTGCAGCATCTCATCTTGCAGGAATGCAAGATCAATCAACAAGAGGCTGCGCACCCTGTTGCGTCACCGCAGCGAAAGTGCCAACGACTGCAACTGGAAGTTCCTTTTATTCTCGACGCGACAGAGATGAAGCAGTTGCTGGATGAACATATGGAGGCAAGAGAAGTGACGTGGGAGTGGGGATACTCTTCATGGTGCTGCTTTGGGGTCGGAAAGAGCGTGACGTTGTGTTGATCTTTGCTTTTGTGGACGGTTGTACAATGGTCAAGGGATCGAAACGGATGTATTGATGAGGATGAAGCAGAACGAGAGAGTCGACGCGAATGGTATTGAACGCAGGAGGACAGAATGAATGAGAACTACGACGGAGAAGTGAAGCACGAAATTGAACAATACTCAAAGCAACAACAGCGTCACACACACAGTGGTCAGGCGTTTTCCTCATGAAATGACCGCTGCCATTCGCGCGTGTTGACACAAATATTGTGCCGTTCACCAAGGGTGCCCTCAGCTGCTGCTCGCAGCGGCTCCAGGTCGCTGTCGGGTGAAAGGTACGGCAGGTTGCTGCCTTGTGGGCAGTTTGATTTCAGCCAATGGATGAGGCCTGGTCCATCCAGCCTGCGGGTATCTGGCATCTCACAGCTGGTGGCAAGGCTGCTCATTTCCGCATCATTCAGGTGGCGGATCTCGTGCTCAATGTCCGCCAGCATCTTCGCTGTCTGCTTCGCCTTCGGGATGTTCTTCTCTTTCACAAGCTCTGGGTCGGTCAGCAGCGTGAGCCAGTGCTCATGAAAGTACGCGAGCCTCAATGAGCCAGAGTCTCCATCCCGGAATACCAGCTTCGACTGCTCCAAGCGTCGAACGTAAAGTTGATGCTGTTCCGGTGCTACGCCTGCGGGAGCAGTAAGTCGTTCCAAAGCCTCACTTGTCGACTTCACCGCCGTGTGAACAGCCCGTGTTGTGACGTCACGTTTCAGCAACACGTGGTGTTCTCGTTCGTGATCATCGGCACCGGCGATCAGTAGGCAGCGCTTCTGGAGTCGAAGTGATGGAAACTGTTTGTGCAGAGCGTCTACAACCACGAGCATGGCCAGATGAAGCAGAAATGAGTCAGCGCCCACCGCGACGACGTCCAGCACACGTCTGTGCTTGACATCCGTCACACATGTGGCCAGGTAGCCGTTGTCGCTCATCTTTGCCACAAACATGCCCTTGCTCAAGTGCAACGGGTCTCCATTCAGCTCCTTCACAACATCAAACAATTCCTTCACCACGGCCGGCCAGCACGTTGGCGGCAGAAACTGCAGCTCGTCCAAGCACTGCAGACGACGTCCGGCAATGCCAGCGCCATGAGCATCGGCACGAGCGTTGAGTCGCTCGACGATCTTGCCATGCACACGTTTGCGCGGCAGCAGAGCAGGGAAGGTGTATCGCTGGCCATCCAGGCGAAAGCAAACACCGAAGGACGCCAGAAATGGAAGCAAACCCTCCTCATGCTCAACCGGAACGTACACACCACGGCATGACAGCACACCTGCGGCTTCGGCACCCTCAACGCCAGGCAGGAAAGTACGGTCGCTTGAATCATCCGCAGCGCACGTCATCCTCAGACCATGAAGCGGGTGCAAGAGGAAAGCCATCAGCTTGCTCAGCCACGTGACTGGTTTGAGCACACACTCATCTTCATTAGAGGGGATACGCCGCAAAACGCCAGCATCGTGGAGGAAGCCAAGAATCAGGTCACGGTCCTTGTCTTTGACAGCAATCTTGGATGCTGAAACAACGGGCCACCCCTTCACCTCCTCACACTTCGCCAGCTTTTCCACGCCCTCCTTGATCGCCATGTACGCCTTGGCACTTGGAAGTACGGCACCCCTTGCTTGCGCAGTGCCCACAGCTCTGCATCCAGCGCGGTCAGATCTCCGCCACCTGGCTCGTCGTAGCGCGTGGCGAAGCAGCGGCTTCCAAGGTCAAACCGCTTGCCGACACGGCGCTGAAGTGTTTGCAGCAGATGCTGCAGGCCCAAATCCTCACGCGCACAATCGGTCTTGGTGGCGACAAGCCGCACTTGGATGGCATCTGCAGCACCATCACCGTTGTATGGAAGGCATGCCTTGAGCAGGTCCAACCAAACGTGAATGCGAGCATGTGCATGCTTGAAACCCTTGGAGGCATCGAACACCAGAATGTACACGGCCATGTGCGAGGCCATGAAGAGCTGGTGGGCAGGGAAGAACTCAAGCTGGCCAGCAAAATCCCACAAGTCGAATCTGGTCGTGCTTGTGGGGTCGTCCTCATGGTGTGTTTTTGAAACGCGCCACTCATCCACGTGAACGCCCTCTGTCCACACGTGTGGGATTTGGAGCAACAGCTGAAAGGGTCGCCTCCGACATGAGTGCAACGTCACGTCTTCGGCAAGCAGAAACCGGTGCACATCCGCGAGCTTTCGCTGCACACGCTTCACTGCCTGCCCTCGGCTCTCACTGCAGAAGATGTCGTCCTTCAGCTCCTGCTTCGAACGCGTCAGGAAATCCTCGCCCGTGACGCCGCGTGCGTCGAGAAAGTGCTTGTCGAAGAAGCCATCCTCTTGCGCAAGGTCCTTGTCGATCCAGTGCCGAAAATCGGCCAGCCTTGACGATGGAGGGCGGTGGGTAGGCGATGGGATCGAAGCCGAAGCGGATGTTGGGAATGTGTTCGGTGTGGAGGAAGTCCGTGGTCAGGACGGTTATGCCGCAAGAGTCAAGGCTGTTGTTGCCGCGCAAGAGAGCACGGGTTGCATGTTTATCAAAACTATCGCAAGTGAAAGACAGCAGTGTGTGTGTGTGTGTCTGTTTCACACAGCAGACGCAATTCGTGCCCAACACAGGAAGACCGCAACGTGGTCATGGACAGGCATTGTAATCACAAGAAGAAATGAGACTACAGGTGTTTGTGCAGCTGCACTGGGACATGTACATAGTTCACACCAACAGACACGTGCCTGAGTGACTGAAGGTTCTGCAGCTGCCCAAGTACTGGTACAAGTGCTCTCAGTCTCATGCCGTCAGATCCAAATATGTTACCACGCAAGCTGTCCAAGGCGAGGGTCACAGCCGTGCGTAGCGACAGGGATTGGGCAAGAACTATGAGCACAGCCGAACAAGGAACCGTTTGCACATGTACGCAAGCATCAACATGTTGCAAACATGATGCTGTGCGCACGTCGACACAAGCACAACAAGCACACACACACACACACACCACACACACACACAACGCATCTGTACACAAGGCACGTGACATACTTGAGGGACTGTAGACGCTGAAGCTTCCCGAGTGCTGGTGCAAGTGCTCTCATGCCGTCAGGTCCAAATGTGTTGCCACTCAAACTGAGTGTTACAGCCGCATGTTAGGGGACTGACAGGATCAGCCAAGGGCCATCACACACAAGCACAACTTAGCGATGAACCATCAGTACAGCTCTGTAAAGAATTGGACATAAACATGAAAAGGTTGCAAAGGTGATGTTGTCAGGTACCAACACCTGAGCGGCAAACACAGCACACCTCAAAGTCCGAAAAAGGGATGGGTTTCTCAGTAGAGCCGTGGCAAGGTCTTGGCACGTCTCTTGCGACAGTCCGGCAGCAATTAAGCTTCCAGCACAGCATGCACATTGGGCAATGAATTACATGATGTAAGAGAAGAAGAGAGAAACAGCAATGATGAGCCAAACAAATTTGCTTGTGAGCTGTGCAGACCACCGAATGCATATCCAAGATAAGGCAAGAGGGCAAAACGGGAGGCACCATGTGCGATTGTGAGCATGAACATCTGAACATGCGGTTACACCAAGCAAGACAGCACAAGAAGCTAAGAAGAACTCACTTCACTGTATCTCCGCAGGATCCATTCTCGATGGACTGGATCACGTTTTGAAACCAGATAGGAAACGTGTCGTCCTCCAGCGGCCCATCTTGACTTTGTGAGTCCATCGTACTCGTGTGTGTTGTTGTTGTTGTTGTTGTTGGAGTGTGTGTGTGTGTGTTGTTGTTGTTGTGTGTGTGTGTGTGTGTGTGTGTGTGTGTGTGTGTGTGTGTGTGTGTGTGTGTGTGTGTGTCTGCTTCCTCTGTCTCCTTTTTTTCCTTCTTCCTTCTCCCCTTTTTTCCTTGGAGTGGCTGTTGCGTTTTGGCGGACGAAAGAAAATTCGCGACCACACTCGCCAGTCGGCATCAGTTGCCTGCAAGCAAAACAAGCCAAAAGACGAAGATGAGCAAAGCAGACTCGCTGAGAGCCAGCATCGTGGACGAGCTGTGGATGTGGAACCTGTCACCGCAGGATGCGTTGAAGCTGACCAAAGCATGCGGCATCTCTGGCAAAAAGCACGGCGAGGACCTCATTCACGCCCTGGATTCGTTCTGTCCACCTTCCCATGACGAGTCGTGGCTCGACGTCAAGAGTGATCTGCGCCCACTGCAGAACGTGGTCAAGAACAACCTTGGAAAAGGTCACGTGCTGTACAAGCTCATCATCAAGCTGCAAGGTGCAACGGCAAACGCATCGAGCGGTGACGATGACGACGACGATGATGCAAGTGGTGACAGTCCACCTCCCACGAAAAAGTATGTGCTGGCTTGCCCGCGAGTTGGTGTGGCGTTCGGTTCGCTTCACAAGCTCTGTAACGTCGCTCGCCTGCCTCCCCCTGCCGCTCTCTCTCTCTCTCTCTCTCTCTCTCTCTCTCTCTCTCTCTCTCTCTCTCTCTCTCTCTCTCTCTCTCTCTCTCTCTCTCTCTCTCTCTCTCTCTCTCTCTCTCTCTCTCTCTCTCTCTCTCTCTCTCTCTCTCTCTCTCTCTCTCTCTCTCTCTCTCTCTCTCTCTCTCTCTCTCTCTCTCTCTCTCTCTCTCTCTCTCTCTCTCTCTCTCTCGGTCTCCCCGTTCCCTGCACCTTGCCCCGCTGTGTCCCATTGTTTTCCCTTCCTTGCCCTTCGCGGCACCGTACTGCCTTGCATGTTCTTTGTTCTCCTAATGTTTGATGTCATGTTTAGCCTGATTGACGTCATGTTTAACTCGTGAGTGTCGTATAGTAGCGTTTGCCTGTGTCGTGTCACGCCGTGCCCAGTGCCTCGGAACTGCTTGCCTCTCGGCGGCGATCCCGAGCCCTTGGCACGGTACCGTCATCAACTAAGATGACGGCACGACACATGCCTGCATGCTGTGTTACGTCTGTTGCCCTTGTCTCTTGTTTTCCCCCTTGCTTAACCACAAGCACCCCTCTTGTTGCCTGCTAGCACGTGTGTGTTGCCCTGCACCCTGTTGTCGCTTATCTCACGTGATTGTCTGTGCCTTGTTCAGTTCTTTTGTTCCCTGGTTTACTTCGCATCAGTACACAGAACAAGCCACCGACACACCTCGACCACAGTCCCGTCACACTTGGTAGCGATTGTCACACACACACACGTACTACGGACAAGCAGCAACATGGAGGAACAGTGGCACGAGATGATTGAGCACATGCGTGTGCTTACACAGACCATGGCGCAAGCGGCACAACTTAACCACGCTGTGCATGAGTCTCAGCAGGGACCACAAGGACCAACGCGATCTACCGGTCGACCACGCGGGCCACCACCGCCGACCTTCTCGGGTGCAACGGACGAACGAGCTGACGACTTCCTGTTCTGCTTGGAAACCTTCGTCAGGTACCATCGCATCGACGACGACGACCAGCGCCTGCTACTTGCCATCTCCTGCCTGCAAGGGCACGCCCTCACCTGGTACCGCAGCCTCGATCCAGCTCCGACGAACATGCATGAGCTTCAGGAGCAACTCCGCGCGAGTTTCAAGACCATCGATGAGCAACGCCAACTGCGGGACCAACTTCGTCGACTGCGCCAAGACGGCAACGTGCAGGACTACGTCTTCAAGTTCCGACAGCTGATGGTGCAGATCGACGACATGTCACGCCTGGACCGCATTGAAGCTTTCATCCACGGACTGCGGCCGCGCACCCGCCAGGAAGTCTCCTTCCACGGACCCGACACTCTGGAGCAGGCCTACCAGCTGGCCTCACGCTACGATCGCAACTACACCACGGCCAACTCATCCTACCGCCGTGGAGCGCCCCCGACGCAGCCACCTAAGTTCGACGACCGCGCCATGGACATCGACGCCATCCGTGCCCAGCGCCCCCTCCGCCGACTGACTGACCAAGAGCGCGACGAGCTTCGGCGCCGTGGCGCCTGCTTCCGTTGCCGACGCGAAGGCCACCTCGCCGCCGACTGTCCGCTGAACGCCAGCGACCGTCGGTCGGGAAACGGCACGCGCCAGTAGGGCCCGCCAGCCCTACTGGCGAGACGGAGGCGGTGTTGCTGCAAGCCACGGATGCAGTGACATCACAAGCACGCCTCCTTACCTTCCGTGGAACCATCGACGGCCGGCCGGCTAGGACCCTCATCGACCCCGGAAGCAGAATGAACGTCCTGTCCCGAGACTACGCCCTTCGCCATGGAATCGCCGTTCAACCACGCCAGTACCCAGTGGAGTTTGTCTTCGCCAATGGAACCAGGCATGTCAGCAAGGACGACACGCAGGAAGTGACCTTGCGCATTGGGACTCACCAGGAGCGACTGGTGTTCACCCTGTGTCAGCTGGGCAGCTTCGACGCCTTTCTCGGCATGCCATGGCTGCAGACTTGGAACCCTGACATCGACTGGAGGACGTCGACGGTGGTCCTCAAGACAGGACCGCTGCGCCCGAACCTGTGCCAGATCACCCTAGAGACCCCCAAGATCCAAGGACCCCAGGACACCACCGACCAAGATGAGACCCCCAAGACCCAAGGACCCCAAGACACCAAGACCCAAGAGACCCAAGACACCGCCGACCAAGATGAGACCCCCAAGACCCAAGGACCCCAGGACACCACCGACCAAGATGAGACCCCCAAGACCCAAGGACCCCAAGACACCAAGACCCAAGAGACCCAAGACACCGCCGACCAAGATGAGACCCCCAAGACCCAAGGACCCCAGGACACCACCGACCAAGATGAGACTCCCAAGACCCAAGGACAGACCCCCAAGACCCAAGGACC